AACAGATTTGCTTGTTTAGTAAATATCGAACGCGATATGGCCAGAGAAAAAGTGATATTTTGAATCCCAAAGAAGTCCGATGTTTTAAATGGCTCCAGACTAAGCAGGTAGAGCCCTCTAAGAACCACAAACAAGGTTATAGAAAATTTGGATTTGTCCGTCTAAAAAATCTATAGTGAAATATGAATCTAGTAAAACTAAAAAAATATTGTATTCATCCTTTGCCATCCTCTACCTCGAAAACTATTAAATTCGGGATAAGACAAATTTACATGAAACAGCATGTACAGTATGGCAGTGAATTTTGTCACTAAAGTGCATAGTCACTAAAGGAGACGGATCTTGTTAGGAAAAATCGAAATTTTTTGCCCTTTGTAGGCATTTTAAAGAGTTTGGAAGTCAAATGCGCTCGATTAAGAAACTAGTTTTTTCAGTAACTTTTGAAAAATTTGTCAAAAATTAAAGGAAATTTCTGCAGGACTAAAGCTGATGTCGCTTAAGAAGTCAGACTTTTATCCACATTCAAAATTTTAGCGCTTTCCTGCTCTTGCTTACATTTCAAGTACCTTTGAAGACGAAACTTTTTAAGGTAAAATCAGAAAACTTCAAAAAAATGTTCGATGCTTGAGAATTTTTGGATATTTGCATAAGAATTGTTATGCAAATATCAAAAAATTAATCTCTATACATTGGCAGCAGTTTGGTGGCGGTTAAACTTGAAACCCAGTTTGCGTTTGAAGCACGTATGTATTGAAATACCAAAGTTTTTCCCGATATTCAATAAAAAATACGCTCGAGCTTCAGGTGTTTGAACCGATAAACAATCAATGACGCAAATTTAAAACGATTACCTGGGAATTAGGTAAGATGTCCTAGCAGATAAGCTGATATTTACGCAAAACGCTCGCACTTAAGTAGCAATAAACGACACGCTCAGTCAGAAATGGAGCAACTGCTGCCCAAAAACGCGATCTACCTGGACGAAGAAGTGAAGGAAGAGTATCCGACAGTAGCACTGGGGTCCGACAGCAGCTTCCTCAACTTCAGGAAGCTGAAAGACTTGCGGCCCATCTGCTTCCATTGCGGCGACCACAATCTCAGCTACGGAGCCAAGTATTTCTGGCATCGCTGCGGCAGCTTCAAGCACTTCTTCTGCTACTATTGCTTCGACTACAGCCTGAAGAAATACAGCCATACCTGCGTCGATGGCAAACCCATTCTTGACGAGTGCAGAACCATCGAACATTTGCTGTGCGGAAAAATCAAATTCGAGTGTCAATGGCCGGCTTGTAAGCAGATCTTCGGCGGTTCCACCCTGAAGAAGCACGAAATCAGCTGCGCAGTGCAGCCGAAACGCGAATGTCCAGTGGACGGTTGCGGTTGGTCCGGTAAACTGGACGAAATGGAGAGTCAACACTTCAAAACCCATGAAAACAGCAAGTTGATCTTACGCAACGTGGTGCTGAAGCTGGAATCGGGCAAGGACTTCTATTTGCTGATCCTGGGCCAGTTTGTGCTGGCTCGATATGTTGCTGAGGAGTTAGGCGAGGTTTTCCAGCACAATTTCTCTCTGAAAGTGTGCAAAGAGGTGCTGAGCTTCGCGAAACCAGTGGGTTTAGTATCGGTTAACCACACACTCCTGAAGAAGATTGAGGGCGACGACTCGGTGAAGAGTATCAGGAGGAACGTTGTGCTGTTTGTGTACTTTGAAACTGTTCAACAATTTAACTAATTGTTTTTGAATTTGTTCTTGTTGGGCTTAAAAAATAGACGTTTTAGTCTTGCAGCGATAGCTTTTCTGCTCTTGGTGTTCCAAAGTTGTTCCAAAAAGGGTGCAAGAATTTGCATTGACCGTGTTGATGTCGGATTCCTATTCTTTACGTATGCCCCATATAATGATGATAAGAAGTATGTAGACGAACAGGAAAAATTTTATAGCTTCCGAGAAATAATCACTTCTCACATTTGTATTTATATTGAAATTATTGACATCGGCGGATCGTAATCAGCAGTTTCCATGGGAAGAAAAGTATAAAGAGGCCCATACACTATCAACCAAATTGTGTATCGAATTAATTAAATCAAATCACAATTTACCATGTGTACATATTTTATGGTTACCGAATTTTTAAAAAACGACGAACGCTTTAATTCAGCCGAATCTAAGGGTGTCAAAGCAGCAGCGTAAGTAAAAATCAGTAAATTCGTTATTAGTTACTCTTTAAAAGTAAAATGAACTCTTAAATTTGTATTTTAGGCATAACGAGAACAATATGGCGATATCGGATATGTGGAATTGAGACACTTTGTTGATATGACCTGCTACGTCACAATCGGGATAGGCAACCGACGATACGGATTCGGCGTTTTTTGCGGCGGCAAAATTATTTATGTTGAAGAGGTAGTTGACAGGGTCATAAATACTGGTAAATCGTACCGCAAGACAGCAAGAAACAAAGCGTGAAAGTGTCAAACAGCACAATACACTACACAACGTGTTGCGCATATTGATAGATAGATAAACCCATCAAACATTGGCGCAACCAACACATCAAACACTGCCATACGTCAAAAAATCCTTTTCCCAAGGCATATGTATGTTGCGTAAAATGTTTGACAATGTATGGGCGCCTTTACTCGAACCAGTTTGAAAAATGCAACGAGACAATTTCTTTATCCGGGCGCATGCTGGTCCAAACATTACCAAGCTGATATTCACAACTTGTTATTCTTCAGCAAGCAGTGAGTGAGTGTGTGAAACACTAGTGCTTTAGCAACGATAGACTACCATCTCAGCTCAGCCTAAGAAAATGGACTCATTTGAAACTGTTATTTACGTGGATGGAGAACTGCTGCAGAAGGATCCGACAATATCATTGGGATACAGAAGCAACTTTCTCAACTTCGGGGAACTGAAAAACTTTTCTCCCACGTGCTTTCATTGCGGCGACCACAATATTATAAAAAAGAACGCAAATCGGCATGAAGCTCATTTCATTTATCGCGGTAGAACCCGACACTTCATCTGCACGTTATGCTTCGACTACCTTGTTAAACACTGCCAAGAAGAACTCTGATCATCACGGGTTTACAATCAGCGAATTTGAGCTGTGCGGCAAAATTAAGTACGAGTGTAAATGGCCCGCTTGCAAGAAGATATTCGGCTGTTCCACCCTGAAGTTTCACGAAATCAGCTGCACAGTGCAACCGAAACGCGAATGTCCAGTGGATGGTTGCAATTGGTCCGGTAGACTGGATGAAATGCAGAGTGAACACTTTAAAACTCACGAAAACAGCATGTTGATCTTCCGCAACGTGATTAAATGTCTGACATCTGGCTCCGATTTCTATATGCTGATTCTCGGCAAGTTTGTGCTGGTTCGTTACGTAAGGGAGGAGTTCGGGGAGGTCTTCCAGCACGATTTTACTCTGAAATTGAGCGAAGAGGTGCAGACAGATACGAAACTATTTGGTTTCGTCACGTTCGATTCGGATTGGGACCGGAAACTCCCATTGCAGCAGATTGAAGGCAACTGCTCTGTGAGAAGCATTAGAAGGAAAATTGAGCTGTTTGAGTGTAAAACAAAAAATTAAAGTTCAACATATTCAAAATATACAAACAGAAACGGTCATCCCAATGAAAACTTCAATATCAAAAGCAGCATTATTATTCCTAAATATATTTACAATATTTTAAGTAAAGTTAGGTATAATGTGATTTTTGTGAAATATTAAATCAATAAAATATGAAATTCACTCACCCCATGTAACCAATCGAATGTCGCTGCCAAGTCCAATTTTCATATAGCCGATAGGCACCAACCCCCCCTTATCAAACGTTGAAAATACCGTAGAATCAGTTCCATGATGAGTTTTTCCCGCTGAATTTGCTTGAAAATGCTACAACCCCAAACGGCATAAAACATTTTTTTAAGACAATGTGAGGCCGAAAACCTATTAAAGAATGCATTTAAAACAAACCTACAAGCACGTTTTGGGAATTATCATGTTTTACCTGCAGATTTCTACTCTTTATTGGGCAGGCTGAAAATACACACTGATTATCGTCATCGCCTCAAACATTCCAGACCCTAAAGGGAAACTCACAAATTCACTTACTATAGTGGCAAATTTTATTTAATACCAGTACACTGTTATATCATAGGTATAATAAACTAGGAATTCTCAATACAATTCTGCAAAAGATCCCTATACAACCCCTTGCTCATCGCGTCCAGGTGGACTACCCAGATAGCCCAAAATATTACATACATATTTAGGAAATATTTATATGTTTGCTAAATATTTCAGATCAAAAGCAAATATTTCTTAAATATTATTTTT